TTGGAAAGCTTCATAAAAATAATAACAACAATTATGATCAGCAAAATAAGCAGATGCTGTTTTCCAGATCACGTGCACCTCCATCATCAACTGTACACTGGAAGAGATGAGGAGGTACAGCGCAGACCCTCGTAACGTGGATACAACCCAAGATATCTCCCTGGTGATCGATGGGCGCACCCTGACCATGGCCCTATCGTCGGATCTGCAGGACCGCTTTGTTGATCTGGCAAAGCGCTGCCGCTCTGTGCTCTGCTGTAGAGTCACACCCTTACAGAAGAGTGCAGTGGTGAAGGTGGTCAGGGAGAAACTCAAAGTCATTACACTTGCTGTGGGTAAGAAATTTTTGTGGAATCATTCATGTAATTCCAAATGCCTTAATGTTGAAAGCAGTTGCATAAATGCAGTAAATTAAAAAAAAACTGTTGTAAAACTGAAGTGAGATGAGGTGAGGTGTTAATGCAAGACTTAGTTTTAGCTTTCTTGCCACAAAAATGTTTCAAGATTGTCCAATCCCGGAGTGTCCCTGAGAGGCCATCGTGAGTGTGTGTTTCCACTTACCTTTTTCATCCATTTTTCATCATGTAAGTTTACAGATCTTCAACAAAAATCTATAAACTGAATACCATTGTGCACTGCTCGTAGGTACTGCTGGGATTTGAAGAGATTGTAATTCTTGGATACAGTAAGCTTTCTTTCACAGTAGACAGGTTGACATGTCACAGTAGGAAACACTTAGATGTGTAAATAATCAAATTAATAATAGCTGAATCAGATTTAGTTGCTTCATATTCAGGGTCCTGGTATCGTGCATGCTGGCTCACTGGAACATCTGCATAGAGCCCATAAAAAAGACAGAAAGACGTGGAAGGCAAAAAGTATTATGCTGGAAAGGCTTGTTTTTGTGAGGGAATGCATGAAAAAGTGGTTTCATGGTGCAATGGATAGTATGGACTTTCTATGTGCATGTTCTCTCCATGTCTGCGTGGGTTTTTCCGCTTTCCTACCACAATCCAAAGAATGTCAAATGTCAGCTGGGATTGGCTGTATCCCCCTTGCGGCCCTCTAAATGATAAGCGAGTCCAGTATAATTAATGGATGGATGGTCCTGCCGAGACACTTCGTTCTTTCACAAGGTTCTATAAGACTTTCTGGCAGACATGTATGCTGTTATCTCATGATGACATTAGAGTTCATTTATGTCCGTTTATGTGGAATATGTTTGATAATGTAGGCAAAAACTATAAAATAATACAGGTTGTTTGCATAAAACTCTAATATATAAATATAATTCCCAAATAAATGCATTTTTAAATAATTAAATTTATTGACACACATAAAGTCTGTAGGTTTAAATACATTTTTGCATTAAGTGTAACTGTTGTTCAGGTGATAATCACTCTGTTGCTTCAGGTGACGGTGCAAATGATGTCAACATGATCCAAGCAGCTGATATCGGCATTGGGATATCCGGTCAGGAGGGCATGCAGGTCTGAACTTAGGTCTTTAGCTTAGAAAATGTTGTTGGTTCTTCGGCTGCTCTCACTGTCCCAACTTCTTTGTCATCTGCAGGCGGTCATGTCGAGTGATTTTGCTATATCTCGCTTCAAACACCTGAAAAAACTTCTCCTGGTTCATGGACATTGGTGCTACAGTCGGTTGGCCAACATGATCATTTACTTCGTCTATAAGAATGTGGTGAGTCTTGTGTCTGCATCTGCTGTCTACATCAACACATTGTCTGGATTTCTCATCTAATCATCTGGAGTTTAATATGTTCCCCAGGCTTACGTGAACCTGCTCTTCTGGTATCAGTTCTTCTGCGGCTTCTCTGGCGCTGCCATGATCGACTACTGGCTACTGATTTTCTTCAACCTCTTCTTCACTTCTGTACCGCCCATCATGTTTGGGATAATGGACAAAGACGTTTCTGCAGAGATGCTGCTGGGTGTTCCCGAACTGTACAGGACCGGACAGGGTGCAGGGGTCAGTGACACTCCCAAACCACAATGCAACTCTTCATTCTGAGAGACAAAAATCTTAAGGCCCTCTCCTCCATGTTTATAGAATTAGGACTTGAGTAAAATGCACAGAATACTTTGATGAGTTTATGCATTTTTATGTATTTAAACTTGTGTGTTTGTATAGGAATACAACTTTGTAACGTTCTGGGTCTCCATACTCGATGCCTTCTATCAGAGTCTGGTGTGCTTCTTTATTCCATACTTGGTAAGAGTCTTTGATTATACATTGTGCAAAGTTGAATCTGTCATGATCCTCTGAGTTACCAGTTGTATTACTGGTTTACAGCTTTCTGCATTTCCCCCCCCCCAGGCTTACCAGGATTCAGACATTGATGTTTTTACCTTTGGAACTCCTCTGAACACAATTTCTTTATTTACTATCCTGCTGCATCTGTCAATAGAGATCAAAGCCTGGGTGAGTGCTGAACTGATATATATTTCTAGATACAATCGCGGCACACCTCCAGTCAGCCAAAACTCTTATCATTAAACAGTTTCAGTTAGTATGATTTTGAAACTAATATACCAAACAGTTATTTGTACCCATTAAAGTCACTGTGTTTTTAAATGGTGCAATACAAAAACAGATAATTACCAGACAATTTTGACTAATGGAATTGTTCTCTCTGGGTGCTCCGGCTTCCTCCCACCGTTCAACATCATGTGGACTAGGTTGATTGGTGACCCTGGAATATTTGTCAATACACCTAATTTCTGTTTTATGCATCTGTCTTGCAGACGGGGGTTCACTGGTTTACCATGCTGGGCAGCGTGGCGCTGTACTTCATTGTGACACTTATCTACAGCAGCTTCTGCGTCACCTGCAACCCTCCTTCCAACCCGTACTGGATCCTCCAGGACCAGATGGGCGACCCCATGTTCTACCTTATCTGCATCATCACTACTGTGGTGGCCCTGCTGCCCAGGTACCATCAGTGTCATCCCCCCTGTGTGTGTCCCCAGAAGGGGGGATAGTAATTTCATATTCCCTTTGTTATGTACTCACACTGATTTGAATACTTTCTTACATCCGTAATTCTACTGGAGGGAGATTCTTAATAAATCTTTTAATTGTAAATTTCCCATCAGATCTACATACTTCACTGTAATGTATATCTTATAGAGCAAAGAAGCAGCAGATTGTGGCCTTCCCTCCCATTTTACTCATTTTCCTCCTGCTTTTATCTCTACTACTTTTAATTTTCTGTTGATCGAACTAATTGATTACTCAGCTTATTGTTTCAACTCAATATGTAACTAAAGGTAGAGTAGTCACTTAAGCAGTTTGCAGTCTTTTTCTACTTGTTTGATCAGGATATTCTAGTCCAGTGTTCATTATTATTGTAGGTTAAGATAGGATAAGACTTCATTGATCCTCGGGGGAAATTCACAAGCTACCAGTACATAAAGTAATTAAAATAAGCCTCACCTTTACCAACTGCAACATTACAAGTGATGGAAACATGAATGCATCAATAATGAAAATCCAATAATCATACATATGATTATGAAACTGATTCTGCATAATGAGCGTTTTTAGGGGTCACAAGTCAAAGAGGTTGGAAACCACTGCTCCACTCCTCTTTAAACCCAATCACCTGATAATTATATATCATTCATGTATTATTTTGAATTATTTTGGACTTGCACAGATCATTAACTACTCTGTAATTGTTAGGTTGTAATGGTGCATAGACTAGTCTAGGCTGATTTTTAATTAAATAATGTTAATTGTGAAGTTCAGGAACGCCTGCACCACGGCTCAGTCTTCCTCCTGGTTGCTGATGCGTCGGGAAAGTGCTGATATTTAGAGTGAATGCTCTGATTTACATCAAAGGGCCGCATATTTTTCACTGGCCTACTTTCTCACCACCACACTCTCTCCCCCAGGTACACGTTTCACGTGCTGAGGAACTCTATCGCCCCCACCCCGCTCATGCATGCCAGGCATCTGGACCGGCTGGACCCCTCCACGAGGGACAAGTGGATCAAGGAGTGGAGGAGCTTCAGGGTCAGAGGGCAGGTCAAACGCTCCAGGCTGTCTACCCCACCCTCTCCCACCCTGGAGACCCCTGTGGACATTTATCCCCAATCTCCCACCACCTCTGAAATCATGGGAGATGAACTCACACAGAACGTCAGCCCTGAAAACTATCAGAGGCCTCTACACAAATGACAAATCATTGGCAACTTGAAGGAATAAGATCATTATTTATTCTGAAAATTGTAAATATTCTAAACTCACAGTGGGGTACTGATCTTACATAAATGCAATCAGAGATGAATACTCTTCCTCTCTGACTTGTGACAAATCATTGATTTGGGTGATGAGTTAATTTTGTAACAAAAATCGTGTATGGCCCTCTCCTCCTTACTCTCCTCATAACAAGCTGCCATAGTGAACACATAAGCCTGTTACCTTCCTGATGGGTTTTCAGAGCACAGTGGTAACCCAATTAGTCATGCCACCCACCCCTCCAAAATGTGGCACTTTTCCAGAACAAAATGCTTAGCTGGTTTAATATATTCCTCTCACCTAGATACCCTAAACAGTCACAATGCATCCTGTCACTGAGGCAAATACACTTGTGGTTCACAGATTTTCCATTCTATTTGCCTGCATGCATATATATATATATACACAGTATAGGCTGGGCCTGTGACTAGTTTAGTGTATTTTTTACATATGTAAAATTTGCTGTGGAAATACATGTAAAAGAAAAGGCTTCTTAACTTCAAAGTCTGGTGCCTTTTTTATGGAAATGAAGTGTGCACAAGCCGAATCCACTTGTAAAAAGGGCTGAGTTATCATTGGCACACTTCACTCTACAGTAGCAGCGCTGCTTATATAAGGTCCCACTGCCTCCTGTTAGATCATTGCTGACCCCTAGTGGTGAAAATGAGGAGCTACAGAAAGGTCAAATGGGACAAAGTCAGAAAAACAGCCATTAAAACAACCAAGATGAGGCTTGATTGTATTATAGTCACAAGAAGGTGTAACATTTATTGAGAATTAAATACAGAATTAGTAAAAGTGACAATGAAGCAGAACTGAGAAAGCCTATCACTGCTGCACGTACATGAAAACCACAATTTACATTTTATTTACAAATAAACAAATACAAGGCAAATCTGATGTATCATGTGGCACAATGTGGCACTGGATACTGTGTACCATGCGGTGAAAAAAAAATCATCATGGTAAACAAAGAAACCACGACTACCAGATGTTTGGCCTCTATTTTAAACACAGAAAACTAAAAATACACTAAAAATATATATTTTGCATTTCTCACCTTGATGAAAACCTGATACAACAGAATTTTAACTGAATAAACACTGGTTTTACTATTATTAACTTTATAGTCAGTGTTCAAAGTATCCCAGGGTCATTTTGTTGTTTGGTGGTGTTTCATCTTATTCTTGAGAATTTCTGAAGATGCAGTCCAGCAAGAATGACGTTTGATAGGTTAGAAAATGAGCTTTTAATGCAATAAAATTTCAGCAGTGAAAAAAATGATAATGAAAACAACTGTTAGAAATTGTCTGGATGTAAAAATCATAAAGTGTCCAGCTTATGCAGGGTTCGCGGGGGGGCAGGAGCCAATCCCAGACATTGGACAGAAGGTGGGGTACACGCTGGACAGGTCATCACAGGCCACACAGAAACAAACAACCATATACTCATATTTACACCTAAGGGCAATTTAGAGTCACTAAGTCACCTAGCCTGCATGTCTTTGGACAGTGGGAGGAAGCCGGAGCACCTGTAGAGAACCCATGCATATACGTGAAGAACACGCAAACTCCACATAGAAAGGCCTGGGATGACCCAGGCTCAAACCCAGGATCTTCTTTATGTGAGGTGACACTGCACCATGTTCAACCAAATTAAGATGCTGTAGTTTAGGACAACATATTAAAGTCTCCGCTGACACAAACTAAACGAATACACAAGAATACAAAAGAACCATTGTGTTTTACATGAAGGTGTGACTTTTGCTCTGACTGGAAACTCTTGTTCTCAAGTTGTGGGCTGCAGTAGTATCACTGCCTATGAATGGCTGGATAAAAAGGGCGAAATGTAGGAAATCAGTCACTTAAGCTGGAGTAGATGAGGCAATATGAGACTTAAAGGGAAATAGCTACAAGGTAAAGAACAACGTTTCAACACAAAACAAGACCTGGAATTAAAGGAACAACAACACGATATGTGACAACGTAAAAGCACGAAGTTGGAATTTTTGCTTTAAAAAAAAATCGACTCAGTGTGTGAGATGCTTTTCAGGATGATTGATGACGTGTGGTGCCTTTAATATAAGCAACCAGCAGATGGCAGACACAATTCCTTTACAGGCAGTGGTTAAAAGGTTGCACTGACAGACGGTAAATTCAGACCGTCCTTCACAGACTGAGAGAATCTAACTGCGTCCAAAATCTCACATTGCAATATATTGACAGAAATCAATCTGCAATATTAATCTTACACCAAATTCACTGCACTAAAGATACAAGTGACAGCTTTAGAAATGACCCAGTAAGCCAACCAGGAGCACTGACAGAGATTCTGCCTCCTGCCTAATTCCTAAAACAGCAAATCACACTGCAGTCTCATACTGAAGCTTAGGTCAAACAGTAACATGTGTTAAAATGATGCTCACGTGAGCTTCACACAGTGAGTGTCCATAAAAGTCATATCGTTCATTAAAAGCCCTCCACTAGAACCACTCATGCTCCATGTGAGCCTACCACGTGGGCATCATGTCAGGAAACCACCGGCGGCCCAGGTGCTTGGACACCTCACAGTGGATCTGCTCCATGTTGTAGCTATTGTCTGGGATCAATACCTCCTCCATGATTGACAGCTGAGTCAGCCTGCCCCCACACATCTTTACAAACTCCACAAAGCCACTGCAGGTCACTTCACATTCGCCCAGCCCGATGGCCGTCAAGCTTTTGCAGCGTTCGGCGATACGGATCAGCTCCTCATCCAGGGGCTTAAGGCCGTTGGCGCACACCACCAGCTCCACCAGCCGGGGGCAGTTCAGTCCGATGCGGCCCAGCATCTCTTTGCTAACTGCCCGGCCAAAGTACAGGTGGGTGACGGGGGTCTCCTCACAGAAGAAGGGCTCAAACTCCTCCTCATAAAGGTAGAAGTACATGACGATGTTGACCTTGGGTGAGTGTCGGACCAAAGCCTCCCAGCTGCTTCTTTTGATGGTGTGAAATTGTGTCTGGCCAGGGTTTTCGCTCACCACGTCAATGCGCAGGTGCTCCAAGTGGACGTGTTTTTCAGAGGAGAGGGCAAGCAGGAGCTCATCACTCAGGAGATGGTAGTTCAACGCCAGCTCCCTGAGGCCATGGCACTGGTCTGCAACACACAGGATACCTGAGGACAGAAAGAGAAGTTATGTGAATGGATGCTTTTTTTAAAAAAAACAAATAATCCCTGCGGCTCTAGGCATAGATTGCCATACAGATAATTATGGCCCCAAGAGGATGAATCCTACTGATTTTGGTAATCAGCTGACCCTCTAGCACCACCATGAGGTTAACATTTTTGTTTTTGAATGTTTTGAATGTCTGCTGTCTTGAAAACAGACATTCATCACTTGGGTCATCCCTTTAAAACTTAGAGTTTATGACCAAATATCTGAAATATAATGACATTCCCATCATCCTCAGCTGTACTTTATGTTTAGTGCTTATTAGCAAACTATGATGGTGAACATGATAAATATAGGTAGGTAGGTAGATTTATTTTGTCATAACATAACAGGTTATAGAGTGAAATTGGGTTTGTAACTCCCTTCTGCTACATAGCAGACAATATCCATTAATATAGAAGCAATTACAAAAATGGTGAACAGAAACAAACTAGATTCATTTTGCTTGGATGTGCTGTAAGATAGTCACAAATTAAAGCAACATGGAGCGTCCTGGTGGCCTAAGACACTGACCATTTACTTGCAAAATCCCGGTTCAAGCACGGCTCAGGGACATGTATAGTTACCTGCTGGGGAGACATGAGGACAGCTGCTCATCTTCAGTAACTTCAGGGTGTCGCTGTTGTTGGCAACCAGCACCTTCAGGGATGGGTCATCCACTGGCGTATCGTCAATCCTGATGGAGGACAGGGACTTGGAGTTGACAAACACCACTGTCAGTGCCGACACAAAGTGAGCCTGAGGAGGGACAAAGAATTGTGATTGAACAAAAATCTTTTTGTTTTTACCAAATAAATGTACAGAATTAGGGGTATTTTTACCAAATAAAATGAAAATAGAATGTGTTGACATGTGCATGTGAAGCAAAGGCAGTATCTTACCTGAGACACATCCATGAAGCTGGGCCGTGCTGTGGAAATCAGCCCCAGGGTCTTAATGGTGCAGTTCACCAGCTGGGAGAGAATGTCACATGCTGCCTCTGCAGATTCTGTGCAGCTGTCCACCTGATTTACCAACAGAGATTCACCATTTAGGTAAAAGCAAAAACACACACACACAAAGGACAGGAGAGATGGAGGTGTAAGAATAATCTCAGCCTAGATGTGTTAAACCCACTAATGCTGAGACAGCTGATGCGTCATGAACAGTTCTGCAGCAGATGGTTTGGATTAAGGAGGGCACATATTGTTTTTGAGCAGCTGTGTTGTGAAAATAGAGGAGGAGGTCAAAAGAGAGAAGAAATGTGCGACAGCAGGGAAGGCTCTTACCTTGAAGCTGACGTACTGCAGGTGCTGAGCGTGCTTCTTGATGATCTGCTGAATTAGGTCAGGGTGAGTGGAGCGCAGGTAAGACGTAGCCGGCTGATTGAGCTCAAACTCAAACCTTCTCCACAGGTCAGGGGTGTGAAAGACGTCATTCCAGCAGCGGCACACAGACGAGGCCCTGGCCCGGTCGATGAGGGACAGATGCTGGAAGATCTGGAGGACCACGTGGTAGGGCAGGTTACCCCAGTCCTGTGAAGAAGTCGGGTCAAAGCCGGACGCCCTCTGCTTCTTAGCCCTGTCCTCATGGGAGGGGAAGGGCTGGCACTTTGATTTGAGACCTGTCCTTCCTCGCTTCATCCTGAAACAAGTCAGCACATTGTGGGATCATTAGATGAGGAATGGTTCAAAGTTTAAACACAAACAGTAAAATTATTTATGCACAGTGTGTACATTTTTAATAGTGTATTACAACCTGGGAGTCACAGTTTCTCTCAGGTTCTCTCTATGCTAAGTACCTCTCGAGGTGTATTTATGAGATAACTACCATTTTTTTTATGTAGGCAGGGAGAGAGATAATTGCTGTATTTTAGGTGAAATTAACAATCATAAAAAACAATAATTATTATTGACAATAATAAAAAGATGGTAATTATCTAAGAACTAGACCTCAAGAAGTACTTAACACTTTCAATAAGCAAGTTTGTCAGTGGTTTTGAGTATAAACATCTCAGCCTCTGTTTTAACCCTATGTCCCAAGTAGCCTAGTAGTATTTTTTTATTATTATTATTGTACTCTTTTAGCTTTTGACACACTGGTTGGTATTATAATAAATAAATCAGTCATAATAAAAAATAATGGTTTATTGAACAGCTCATTTGATCACACAGATCTTCTACTGTTCACTGAGTAAACAAATCAGTCACTATAGGTCACTAGATCCCACGAGTTTTTTCACTGTAGCCCATACACACACTGAGTCACACTTAAGCCCAGTCCTCCTGTAGGCCTACTCTAACACTCGACACAAAAATTTCCCAAGAGCCATCTTTTAAAGTAAAACTTGTTTTTAACACTGGAACAACTACATGTGTGTTGTGAAACAAAACAAGAACCACACATCATGATCATCACAACACAAAATTGCCAAGTTGATGGAACCTGAACCGAAGCGTCTACGAGTAGTTAGATAATAAATAATGAGAAACTCACCTCAAAAACATGTCATAACACTGGACAAATTAAGATGTTTTCCACTGGTCTTGTGGAAGAAATCCTTGCCTCATATGATGTAGGGGAGAGCGGGATAAGTTGTCTCGTGTGTAAGTTGTCACACTGCTCATAACTCCAACACTAGAGACTCTATGTCAAAAATCAAATAGCCATTTTGTGTGACTTCTTTTTCTATGTTCAACTTCCTGTTCACATGTGGTCAAGGTCACTCTAATCTGAGGTGAGCACAATTTTATTATTTTTTGGCTTCAAAAGTAAAACATTTGCACTTTACATTTTATGTATTCCAACCTTATTAGGTATGAATGTTCAAAATGATAACTTTGCACAAAGTAGAGGAGACAATAACGCGTCTTTTAATACTTCAACTGAAGTGCTATGTTAAGCTAACCTTGAGAAATAGCCAACATTAGCACACATGTCAGTTTGGGGCAAGTTGTCTCAATGACTTTGGGGCAAGTCGTCACATGTGCCCCAGTACAAATAAACACATAGAACATGCTCAAAAAACTATGTGAAATTGTGTAATTACCTCTGACACTAGTATTAAATGATACTGTAAATAGAATCTTACACACTGTAGTTTACAGCAGCAGCCATATGCCTTGACAAGACTGAATTCATGACAGAGTATATACGGTCTTATACCGTAGGCATGTAGTATGTTAGTAGATACAAACACACACACACACACACTACATGATCCAGTTATTAATTTAGTTAGGCAACAAGGGTAGCAGACAAATAAGCTTGTAATTAATTTGTAATTGCAAGGAGGAATGTGCTTTTGAAGGAAGGAAGAAAATTATAAACAGAAGACAGAGAATGACAGTACACCGCCTGACATAATGTTAAAGGCAGTCAGGCAGGTGAAGTTGAAGAACAAATCAATCAGAAGTACAGCTAAGGATTTTGATGTAAGCCGCTGACATCTCTTTTGGCCTCATTTATGTGGAGCCATTTTCATACAATATTCCAAAGAAGACGTGGTTTAAGTGTGTGAAATGCAACAAATGGGCCCGCGATGCTTGCACCTCAGGTCTGGCAATTTATGTGTGCCAGAACTGTGACTCTGATGTCTGATTAGTCAGATACATATGTACGTCATACAAAAATGCACATTGTTGCATTAGTGTGTTTAAACACCACATCTGTTTTGTTAAGAAGTTACACATTTAAGCAAGTTATCTGCAGCATTACATTCAATTACCATAGATCTATTTGCACTCCAGAGAACGTTTGATTTCAAAGTTCAAAGAAAGAGGTTGTGCCACTTAATGTGTGCTCTGACAACATTTTTGTTTTGAATTAAATTATTTATTTTCCAAATTCTCTAGGCTTGATTGTTGATTGATTTTACTTTTAGTTCTGGTTACAATTTGAAATTGAAATCAATATTCACAATTAAGTGTTCTAACTGTTTGATAATCCAGTGTGACAACTTACCCAATGCAGTGTGACAACTTACCTGCCGATGGGGCAAATTGTCACAAGTGCACACTCTCTATTCAACAGTCTACAGCTCCATAATGTGATAAGATATGAAGATGTAATGAATACAAAACTTCTGCCCTAGACTTCATTCTTTCATTTGGTTTGACATTTGTACCATTGTGATGTATGGTGCTCATTAAATATTAGATGGTGTGTGACAACATACCGCTCTCCCCTAATCGACACGCATGCATGCATTTATTTAAGAATCATCATTGACTCATTTAGAAAGGTCTTCACTTTTCACAAACTAGACCTGTTCTGAGGCTTCAGCAGTAAATACTGAGCATATAAAGTCTAGTTATAGCTATGTTGGTCCAGCCTATAAATAATCATTAACAACGTGTTTTGAAACTTGATACTATGTGACCCAGCGTATTTACAGGCAGGTCTTTAAGAGCATGATCAAATCTAATTCTATACCTAAATTAAAGTCATTATCTCTATATTTTTATAGAGAGCATTAATAATAATAATAATGTCATCCTCATAATATTAATGTGTGTTTATGTGAAGGAAAGCTCTCCGTGTTGAACTGAAAAGAAAAGCACCACCTGTGGCGCCAGGTGAACACGTTTACAGAAATCTGGACGCTTTCTGAGCACACAATAAAACACATTTCAAATACCGAACAAACGCCAGTAAAACACGTGTTACTTACATTGAACTGCTAAAAAACACACTTTCCTCTCGGTTGTGTGCTCAGACGGCGTTCACTTGGAGTCATGGCTGGAGATGACTGTAGAAATGCTGGCTGTTGCTGATATAGGACAGCAGGGGCAGCTCCCATAATAAGCTCTCCTCTCGGCTTTAGCGACAGCTTGACGGGCGCTGACGAGCAGCCGGTACACGTGAGCTCAGGAAAACATGGATCTGCCTGCCTGCATCTCCATCCACCATCATGCATGCAGAAACACATATCTACATTCAGTCTGCCGTTACTTTGACTCATTTATATTTGTGGGTGTGTTTGTTATTGCTGTGTCGTGACCCACGAGAGGGGTGCGCACGATACAGCAGTAGCCTTATATGTGCACGCATGCAGAGAAAGTAGGTCAGTGTGTCAAAGTGTGCGTGTGTGTGAGAGAGAGAGATGTAGAAATGGCCATTAGTAATCACAGAGGGGCACAGCCTTCCACTCTTCCCTAGAATACTAATCTTTTGCCGATTAAATATTATAATGTATAAATGTTAAATCCAACGCCATAATTTGTAGAATCTTTATTGGTTACACAATGCTCTGACAAACTGAGCTATTATCTGAATACCTTAGGTTAGGCTTACACCATTTAAAAAGGGCTGCAGTTGGAAAAAAAGTAATGGATTAACCTCTGGTGATATCTTTACAGAAGAAATCTGGATCCTCAGAGCTGGATTTCTGTTAATTAAGAAGTAATTAAATTGAGGAAAAATATGATGGCCAGTGCTGTGTCTCAAATTTAAGTGTTAAATCACATGACAACTGGTCTTATCATTACTGTCACAGTTTGTTTTTTAGCCACACTCTCTTAAATTCCCAGACCTGCAATCCTCAACCTGTCCACCAGATGCCCTCAGACTTTCCCTCCTTTTCCCATCATCTGACTGCCACACCCAACTGCACACCTGTTCTCACCTGTTTCCCTGGCCCACCGGCTCACCTGCCTGCCAACTGTCGACATCTCCCAGCTCTGCACTCCAGCCACCAATGTCTGGTTCTGCACTCCAACCACTGATCTCCAGTCCTCTTCACCAGCCTCCTGATCGGTTCCACCTTTGCCCAGGCCTCCGGAGCACTTCTATTTTCATCGTCCAACTGAGGTATCTACAGTCCTTATGTCTGACTGACTGAGGTCTTCTGTACCACCCCTGTTCTTCAGTTCCCAGGCCACTTGCTCCTGAACCTGCCTGCCATACCTGTCTTTCGGTCTGCCTGCTTGTAAGTTCATATATGTTGCAATAAAACCTTGATCCTGCCTGTTCTGTTTGCGTTTGGGTCCAATCCCTGTTGTCTGTCATAAACCACCATGACAACTACAATGTTTTACATTTTTAGCTTATTTGAAAAATTAAATTGAGCAGTGTTGGCCATAATTTACACTTTTAAGATCAAAGTAAAAAAAAAAAATCAATTTATCAGATTATCTCTATAGCAATGATCTTGAATTAAGACAGCAAAGTTTATATCTTACTTTGTACTTTGACAGGCAAGATTGTTTACTGGTGCATCTTCATGTTTGCATTTCCTTTCCTGCTGCTTAGTAAAGCCAACAACAAACACTGTGCGTGACTATTGTTTGTGCTACTGTTTGCCTAGAGTTTTGTTGATGAAAGTGTTTGTGTTCATTAGATCTTGCACACTGTCTTGAAGCATGGCTGGAGGAGTAAAACGCATAGTAGCCCTGATGTTTTTGTGTGCTTTCTATTTTGCATACTTTTCCAGTTACATTCTTAACAGACACTGTTGTAAGCACTGTTGAACAATATAAGGGTGATGAATGATCAGTGATGCATAAAGCTATTAGAGTTTGGCAAGTCATAATTGGGAATGTTTGTAGTCACTTACTTCATACTCCAGACAATGTCACTCATTCTAGTTTTATCTCTGCATTTGCATCTTTAGACCATTAAATGCATGCAACTGTGCCTCAAATAGTAGGCTAATGGAAACTAGGAGTTAAGTCATGTTGCATTCAAACTTCATTATAATAACAATCTGCAATTCATCAAATTAATATTAACATTTTATAACAATAATTATAAAATTGTATTTATATAGCACTTTTTAAAACTAATTTTACACAGTGCGTCCTTCCCAAGGCAATAAAAGCAAGATAAATGAAGCAAAAGTAAAAACAATAAAACAGAGAAGCACAAAAAACAGTAAAAGAGATAAAAAAAAATGTACATATGTATATAAATATACATTCATACACACAGGTGCTAACATATACAGTTGGCTATAAACATATATAGTAGGCCTACATATATTTATAGTAAAGTAGGCCCACACATAGCCTACTTCACCCAACATAAGCATATAAACATATGTGCAAATACAGACACATAGCCTACTTTACCACACATATGCTTAAAAACATATTTTCACATACAGACACATAGGCCTATAAAAAAATACGTTTTAAAAATACAAATGTTGACGATCTCGTCTCAAAAGCAAAACCTGATCCCTCTCTGGTCACAAAATTGTTCCCAGGTCAACCTTCTTTAGTTAACAAGTGAAACAGGTCATCTCCCACATATAAAGAGGGACAGCTGTCAACAAGATCCTTCATCTCTCCAACTTTCATCACAACAGTACCTGCAGCCAACAACAGAAACGGAGGTTGCAATTTTGTTAGCAGGGCAAGTCACATGTAGGGTCAGCGAAAACTGGACGATGGCAAAACATACGTTTAGGGCCCGTGTCCACCAAAGCGTTTTTTCTGACGCCAGCTTCTGTTTTCAATTCATTCCAATGGGAGCACCGCGTTTTTACTAGCTGGTAAAAACGCCAGGAGCTTGACGAGGCGCTGAGCGTCTTTACCGTGCTGAACGAAACGATGTGCCTACTCGCTGAGGTGTTTCCTCGCCCGCAAAATCTCATGAACCCATGTATGGAGAGTCTGTGCTCTCATGTTTCAGCCTTCTCTTCATGCAGAGCAAGGGCCAGAGCAAGTAGGCCTACGTACTTTGTTGTGACATTTTTACATTCACTAAAATTAAGTAGGCTCCCCTACTTGCAACACATCGCCTCCACGGAAATTATGTATCATAGCAACCACAGCGTCTCGAAAAAAAACAATGCGCCTCCAAAACGCACCCTAGCGCTCACAGCTAGGCGTTTCCAAATCAGAACAGCAGGTGGTGTTTTCAGCCGGCAAAAAACGCTTTGGTGGACACAGGTCCTTACCCCGTGTTTAAAGTGCCGCCCCCATGAGGACAACCAGTGTAATTTAATCAAACACAACATAGTATAAGAGCCTCAAGTTAGGCAGTCTGACCAGTGATGTAGCTCATTTCACAGACTCTTTGTGGTTCCTGGAGGAACAGGACGCATGAATGATGACAAAGGAACAATAACTGGCCCGGTGTTGAAAAGGAGGAAGTAAATTAAGGGACAAAGGAGTCAAGAAGGAGACGAATTAATATTGTCTTTTATCTGAATGACCCTGAATTTAGCCTTTCAGGCTCACACTTCGTGTCAGGCCGTCCTTTGTAAATCCATTGCCGTAAACCTACCAAAACCCATGACTAATCAATAGTCTAATCTAATAAAGTCTCAACACAGTTCACACAAGAGATATAAGTGAATATTGTTTTAATCATAACAGCGGTACACTATATGGGAGAAAATCACACAGTCTATTGAGTGAATACAGCCTGACAGGTATTATGCAGGGCACATGGATTTGCCACGAGAGCTCCGCCCCTGACGCAGTGTGGAGACGTTAGTCACGTCGGCATGAGAGGTAGACATACAAGCAGCTTCAGAGAGCTGGGTTTTGTGATAACGGGGGAAGAAAACTATTACTTAAGCACTCTTCGCTGTTCCTCGCAGGCAGCACGATGCCACGACGTGTCAGTTTTGTTGCTTGTAACGTAGGGTGAAGAGAAGGAGCTTGCTAGTTAGCTAGCTCAGTTTAGCCACAGAGTCTGACAGCCAACGTCAGTAGCCTGCAACGTTAGCTAGTTAAGTACTTTCCTTTGAATAAGGTAAGAGTTGTGCAGTTGTTTTCATGCTAACACCAGCTCTGTATTAATAGACGGCACACTTTGTTTAAAAGGTTACAGAAAGATGTATGTTCTTGTTGGCACCTCAGCTGACTTTAAAGAGATTTGACTTTGTTTTGTGAGTTTAGCAACAGCGACAGCTAAGTTAACGTTAACTAACGTTACCTTATTTAGCTTAAGTTAGTCAAGCTAACGTTAGCTGTTTTAACTAACTAACTGACTTAGCTAACGTTAAATTAAATTCAGTAGTATGAGCATCTCACTCACTCAGTCGTCACGAAAAGTCGCAAAACTAACGGCATACGTTAAATGTCATGAATACTACATGTAGCTGGTTTTATTTGATGGGCAACTGCCTTTCCCTAAAGGAGCACAAAAACAGGTTTTTGTTGACAGTGTTAATATTGAATGAATTGCATTTGTCTTGTTTGTGATTCTCAGAAAGACAGGTTTTATTGCCATACTTAGTTTTCTGCCCGATAAGGTCATTCATTACGTATCTAAAATCTGAGAAGTGTTTGTCTCTGAGACTCATCAGTTTGTGATCAGAGGACTATCTTTACAATCAAAAGGGCTGTATTCCATATGACCAAGACTGAGAACTAAGATGACCTTGTATTGGTGTGGAAGGTTGTTTCCCAAAAACTCAAGAGAAGTTGATAATGGTCAAATTTCAGATAAACTTTGAGCTGCCAGCTGAATTGGCACCACCAGTCTTGAAGGACAGAAGTGTCACCTGGCTTTCTGTCAGCGTGTCAATGAAATGGAAGGGATTGTAGTTTTAATGACATCATTTTCAAGCTTTAATCTGATGTTGCTTGATAACCACGTTACATTAGCCCATCCAAACAAGGAAACACAGAAATAATATCCTTCCATTGTGGTTTTACATATTGTTACATCTTGGACAAAGTGAAAGGTGCCAAAAGTCAAATGTAGAAATGTCACGTGTAGAATCAAGAATTGTCCGTTGTTTCCTCACAGCTTTCTTTAAATAATTAGTATTGTGAAGTGTTTTGCTGTCTCGTTTTGGCTTTCAAGCTTATAGTTGTAGTTACAGCTTATATTTTTGACACTTAATACAGATGTTTAAAGGTCTCAGTCTGGTGGTGTTTATTTTCTCCAAGATCCTAACATAACAATTGTTGTGTGATGCTTTCCCTCTTTGCACTTGTTTTAAAGTAAAACACTTGCAGTGGTATGTTAGACAATAAATGTTGTCCTTATTGTGTCCTTTAGAATAAGCAATCATGACACAGAAAGTCAAGCTGTGTTCAGTCTCC